TATGGGGACTTACCTAGAATGGGGAGGGAATTCCCTCCATTTATAAACAATAGAAGTGAGAAATGAGAGGGTGCACATGTCCACTTCAACTTAAAATTGCCACATGATCAGCGAAACGAGATGGAGCGAGGTCGTGGATGCATTCCTCGTCTCAACTCTATGGATATTTTTCATCTTCGTTCCTGCCTCCTTCATATGGGAAATCAAGGTCGGAGTTGAAGATTCCCAATTTGAGATCCTGTCCCTACAAAAGAAAAATCTCGCTACCATTTTTATTTTTAACTATATTTTAATTACAAATTCACATGACTTATGCCATCACAACTCTAGTGGACCCGAAACATTACATTTTTTTTAGTCTCTCTCTTTTTTCATGAATGTATATCATTTTCATACAAATCTTTTGTACATCTAACCCTCCGAACATATATTATTTTTGTACACACATCAAATCTTTTAGGTATACATCTTTTTTCGTGTCACCACGTTGCAATCTAGTGTGGGTCTCAATTCAAGCCTATTAGAATGCGTCGCAATCTTCTCGCTTTTTCTAAACCAATCCATAAATGAAAATTTAATACTATATGAAAATGTGGGACATTTCAATCTTCTCACTTTAGAAAATTTTGTCCTCGAAAATCTCTAGTCCAACAACTCTCATATTTTCTTTCTCACGTCTCGTGTTTAGCCGCTACAATACCTCCATAAAACTTTTACCAATTAGAGTACCGACACTCTCAAAACCTTGGTCTCTTTACCCACAACAAAATTTCGACAATGACCCATGAAGAAGTCACCCATATTAAAATTAACTCTCGGTGTCTAAACATGTCTTCTTGCTTATCATTGAATACTATGTGCAAGTTTCTTTAGTATAACTCTTTTCTTTTCCATAAATGACATCGATAGTTAATGTCAAAATTTGCATAGGAAAAGGAAAAGGAAAAGGAAAAGAAACTACACACCAGATTGAACCAAGAGCATGTGTGGTTATCACGGTCATGTATGTCCAAGATGTGTTGTTCAGGCTGCATGTTTGTTCCAAATCGCTTTTACATGCTTTCCATATTAGACAAGTCCTTACTACACCCACTAGGACTAAAATGACTCAAAATGTACTATAAAAGGATGCGACTAATCATCAATTCTTCCTATCCTAAATTATATACTATTTAAGTTGTGATGTTTCTTTACTTGCTTATAGTCTTATAACGTTACTTTATTCAACTCTTTCAATTGCATTCTTTCGCTCACGTTTTCTAAACATTTTCTATAACCACGACTCGAGACTCAAGTATACACCGACATTGTCCGCAACATCCAAATTTCTCACAGCTAAATTATTCGCTAGGTTAGAACAAGTGTCACACAATTGCTTTCCCACTGTTGTAAGAATGCGATTGTGACACGTGACACATTTTCCATTAAGAGGCCAACCATAGGTTCAACCTCAACTCGTCTTTTTTATATAAAAATATATATATATATATATATATATATATATATATTATAACAATATTTGGTGGTTAGATATTCTTATTCTGTTATCTTTAATAATATTTTGGGATGGATGAATTAAATATTAAAGTTAAAGTATATCTAATTAGGATAATTTGGTGTGCGCATTCAAATTTATTAAAAATATAATACATCTATATTATAATAAAACAATATTAAAAAAATAAAAATAAAAAACCAATATCTGAAAGTCAGAGATACAAATTTAATTAATAAAGAAATTTCAGAAATTAGGATAAGGGGTCATGTCCTGACTCCTTGAGATACGGAAACTGGGCCCAATGGCTAAGGCCCACTTTCTCCTATTTTGTCAATGGAATTAGAAGAGAAATTTAAAGATTTGAATAATAATTTAGGGGTGGTTTGACAGCCTTTTCAAAAATATATTTTTCTATTTTTCTAAAATAAAATAACACCAATATTCTCTCTTTCAAATATATTATATTTTTGTTCTAAAATAAACAATTACATTTTAATCATAGCTCTAAAAAATTATAATTATATTCTTCTTTATTATACATACTATTTTATAATTTTTATATTTAAAATTATTTATTTTAAAAAAATCTCTAAGAAAAAATAAATTTCAAAATATGAGAAATTTTCTTAGGATGAAAACTGAAATAGTTGATGGGAACGGAGGAGACGAGGAAACCTTCTACTTCCTCGTCCGGCTCCATAGACTTGGTTAACTACACTCGAAAATAATTTAAAGTAAATAAATGCTTTTTTTTCTTAACCCATTTTTCTATTTATTGTTTGGATTTTCCTTTCGATTTTCCCTCAAAGTTTTTAAAACATGCAGACAAGAGGGAGAGATTTTTATACCTTTACAAAGAATGTTTTGTAAGTCAATTAGAGATGCAAGTTTAAAATTTATGCTAACTATATAACAGCCAAAACCCACCGCTAGCACATATTATCTTGTTTGAGTTTTTCCTTTCGGGCTTTTCCTCAAGGTTTTTACAACGTGTATGCAAGGGAGAGATTTTCACACCCTTTTAAAGAATGTTTCGTTCTACTCTTTAACTGATGTGGAATCTCACAATATGGGTAGGAATTGAATTAAATGGGATGATTCGAGTCGAAAAAAGGAAAAAAATATGTAGAAGAATAGAAAGTGGAATCTAGGCAACCTAATGGGAGGCTAAAAGTTCATTTGGTAGAATGATGTCACCAACTACTCTCACCAGATTAAGCTCAACAAATTAGACCAAAACATTATTGTTATTGGGAAATAGCTAAGGGGAATTAATTGGTTTGCTTGATTCTCATCACTTTTCTTTTCCCAGATTTCACATCCTCCAATTCTGACATTCAAAAACTTTATCATCACTCTCACTAACTTTTCTTCGCCCTTCACTTTCTCAGGAAAATAATGGTGGAAAAGTGGTAGCTGGAAAGCATATAGAACGTGAGAATCAGTTCAGTAACCTTCAGAATTGATTCAACTACTCCCAACAATTTCTAGGACAACTAACGGATGACGGAATTAGAAAAGAAAGAACGGTTTGATCTTAATGGAATGAATTGTTTGGATAATTTGAATATGCATATGGGTATACGTAACCGCCCAAGCCCCACCACTCGCAGATATTAATGGAATGAACTGTTTGGATAATTTGAATATGCATATGATTCGTTCTCCTCCCCAACCGAGATGGGATCTCACAATGTAAATGAATCGAGGTGTATTTTTCAAGTAGATCTGGAGGAAAATAAGAGGAGATTCAAGCTAGTGGGTAAATTCTAAACAGGGGCTGTAGATACCCATAATTGATATTAGAATTAGACAGACAAGCTAATGATAATAAACCTTATATGGGCGCATGGGTTGCAGTCAAATCCTTCCACTCAGCAAATTGTTCAACTAAAGAAAAAGTGGTGGGTTGGATCCCAAATGTCTCTTTCCATAGTCAAGATATACCCAAAAACAAATTATATGAAACAGAGCCACTGTCTACGTCCTAAAAACATTGTTTTTCTCTCTGGCATTTTCACAAACACCTTCCATACCTAGAATTTTATGCGGATTTTTTTTCCTCCCCCACTAAACACTCCGCACCAAATTTCAATGGTGGATTACTGTAACAATTCAAATTATTCAGATCACATGGCCTCTTACAAACATTGTTTTTCTCTCTGGCATTTTCACAAACACCTTCCCTACATAGAATTTCATGCCGATTTTTTTCCTCCCTATTAAACACTCCGCTTAACTTTCAATGGTGGATTACAGTAAACAATTAGAATTATTCAGATCTTATGAGAAAATAATCTATCATCACATGCAACGGAACAAAAGATAAAAAATTATTGACAGATTCAAGCTGATGAAAGGTGAGTTTGAATTACCAAATCAAAATTAGTCGATTATTGAGTGTCTTTTTAGAATTATTAGAGAAGCTACCATTTATTTCATAATGCTTCAATTCAAAGAAAATAAAATGTTACCTTTTCGAGGCTTTTGATTCAATCAAAGAAAATGGAGAACTCGATTCTTTCCCTTTCTTCTCCTCCTCCCATTCTCGGCTTCGGTATAAGCAACAGTTTTAAATCATACTTTTTAAACTAATTTTATAATATTAAAAATTCGAACTAAATTACTAAATTTATAATTTATATTTGCTAGACTATATTATAAAATATATTATTAGTTTTTTTTTTTTTTTTAATTCTCTCCCACCAATATTTCAAAAATATTCTCAACTAATTTCTAAAATTATAATTTCAATTTAATTTAAAATCTATAAAAATGTCTTCGTAAATTTGAATGTATTTATGTTTATTATTAGACCCGACCAAATTGAAATAAAAAAAAAATAAAATATATTAATTAAATAGTAACAATAAATAAACATAGTAAATAAAATCATGTATTATGATTTTGTATTTATTTATTATTGCATTTATATGTATTTATACCAACTATCAATTAAATCGATAAGTAAAGAGAAAATATTATACCGACCAAATCTAAAAATAAAATAAAATATATTTTAATATTCTTAAGCAATTTAGTTTTATTTTTCTATTTTAAATAACTTAAAAAACAAAAATAAATAAATAAATAACCAAAGTTTATAATAAAGAGTTAAATGAGTCATATAGGGTTGGTACACACAATTAACTAATCAATATAATTAAATACTTCTAAAAAAATAGAATTAAAAAAATATTATTATTTTTAATTATAAAAATTGATTGCAACCAATAATTATTTATACTATTTCTGTAATTGTCTTTATTATTATTATTTTCAAATTGTTTTAATTATGATCTTTACCGTTTTCTTTTCTGTTTATACTTCTTCTTAAGTATTCAATTATTTTCAAATTTTGAAACATTAATAACATAATTAATGATTTTTGACCCAATTATTTTAAAAATTATAAAAAAAGAGAGACGTGATTGTAAGGTAAAATGGGGTTTTTGTAGTTTCAAGCAACGTAGGGTCAGGTAGCTACCGGATTTTTTTTTTTGAATTTTTTTTAGTGTGGAAAATTTTGACAGCCCACTCCACCCACTCAATGCCTTCGATTTGTTCTTTCTCTACTGTATTTCTTCGCGTTTTTGAGCTCAGGTGCTCGTTTAGCGACCCGAATTCGTGGTGTGGAGTCAGTTTTTCGTACGTTGACGAGCTCCAGATTTGAATCAGTTCTTCAAATTCTAGTGGGTCGGAGAAATCGAAGACACCCACGTTCCCATTTCGCCGCTGGCTTTGAATCACCTAATCTTTTACTCTAGCTTTGTATTTCTTCCTGGTTTGTTTCACTGGGAGTTTGAGATGAAGATTAGTCTCTGGTTTTACTGGGTTTTGGAGGCGATCGGAGAATTTCCGGCGATTTGATGGGCTTGATTCTGGTAGTGGTTCAGTCTTCTTCGACCCTTCATGGAGGAGACCTTTCGGTGTAGTCTATGTGCTGCTCGTAAATTTGGTGCTAAGATTCGCTTCGTTGTTGTTCTGTTTGAGGTGAGCTCTTGTGGTGGCTGATTTTTGCTTTCTTTTTAGTTGAGGTTTGGTGGGTAATCATTTTGATTTAGGTTTAGGGTTTCTCTGGACTTCATCTTCTTTAAATGGTGAATTTGATTTTGGGGCTGAGAATCATTTGGTTTTTGGACTGGTATTGCTAGTGCACGCTTGAAGATGTCTTGGATTTTACTAATTGTTCTTAATTTGCTCATCTCTGTTCTTCATGGAGTTCACTTAATTATCATTTAAAATCGAGGGTAATGCTTGAAATTGATGTTTGTTTCCATTTTCTCTTTAAGATTCCTGTGTTTCTCTGTTGAGCTGATTACTGGTTCTTGAGCTTGTTAGGAGAAAGAACCAATGGTTTCCTCTAAATCCAATAGAGTTTAAAGGGTTTTTGTCTGATTTGATCTGATTTATGTTCAATCTATATATTTTCAGTGTTCTTGGACTTATAATTTTCAGTTTATTTTCTCCTGGTTCAGATTTTGCTTCTATTGTCTTTGGATGTTGTATATGCAAAATTTGAAGATCGCCGCCTGGAAAGGGGAGCTGAAAGCATTGTTTCGCACTCTTGCATCCATGACCAGATACTCGAGCAAAAAAGGCGACCTGGGATGAAGGTATACTCTGTTACGCCCCAAGTTTACGATGTAGCGGGTGCTGCAAAGCCACTTCATAGAACGGGTAGAGCATTGCTTGGACTTTCGGAATTATCAGATCAGCAAAAGAATGCAAAACAACCTATTAGAATATATCTGAATTACGATGCTGTTGGTCATTCACCGGATAGGGATTGCCAAAAAGTTGGCGACATTGTTAAGGTGAACCGGGACCTTGAAACCTTTTGACTTATGTGTCTGCCCGACATGCTGTTTTGATATTGACCAGGAGTTCGCTGTGTCGTGTTTTTTGTTTTCTCCTAGCAGCTTGGAGAACCTCCTGTCACTGCATCGTTTCTGGGCTCTCCTTCTTGCAATCCTCATAGCAACCCTCCGATTTCGGGTGACTGCTGGTATAATTGCACTTTAGATGATATATCCGGGGAAGACAAAAAACATCGTCTGCACAGGGTATCGTGCAGTTTTTTATTTTATTCTATCAGCTGATCATAAGCTCTAATCAGGAAATTGATTTATAAGGCATCTCGATGCAGGCTTTAGGTCAGACTGCTGATTGGTTCAGACGAGCATTGGCTGTTGAACCCGTGAAAGGGAACTTGCGTTTAAGTGGATACTCCGCTTGTGGGCAGGACGGAGGTGTACAACTTCCCCGTGAATACGTTGAAGGTATGTTAATCCATAATTTTTTGCTCCTTGAAAGGGCATACCGTTACCTTTAGGCTTTAACCGTTCTGTATGGTTCCTCCAGAGGGAATTCCCAATGCAGATTTGGTTCTTTTAGTGACCACAAGGCCTACTACTGGGAACACACTGGCTTGGGCTGTTGCATGTGAACGCGATCAATGGGGCCGTGCGATTGCTGGTAAATTTCTTTTTAATTTTACTTGAAAAAGAACTGTTTGAAGGGAGCATTCTCTTTTTGAAACTAATAGTGCAAGTTTCTTTTGCAGGGCATGTGAACGTTGCACCTCGGCATTTGACCGCTGAATCAGAAACTTTACTTTCAGCTACTCTTATACACGAGGTTCGTGGATTTCATATGTAGTTTGGTTAAACAAGTGTCGGTTTTACTTATTATTCATCACTATGTTCCGATCCTTACAGGTTATGCATGTCCTTGGTTTTGATCCACACGCCTTTGCCCATTTCAGAGATGAGAGGAAAAGAAGACGTAGTCAGGTAAACTATATCTCGTGCTGGTGACTTGATGAAGGAAAACTAGCTAAGAACGTTTAAACGGTTATTGTATTACATGGAATTGACCATTTAATTGATGTATATACATCAGGTAACAGAACAGGTCTTGGATGAACGACTTGGGCGTACAGTAACTCGGGTGGTTCTTCCACGTGTTGTTATGCATTCACGATATCATTATGGGGTTAGTGTTTCTTCTGTAACTATTTAGAGTTCGTCTTTGTGAATTAATAGTTCTCAAATACTAAATAACCAAGCCGACTATGTTCCTTGGCAGGCGTTTTCGGAGAATTTCACGGGTTTAGAGCTAGAAGATGGAGGAGGGCGTGGCACTTCAGGTTCTACTCTTGTTTTTCTGCTACTTTTCTCCTATCCTTGCCCCCACCGAGTTCTCTATGAGCCTGCACGGTTTACTTGACCTATATACTTAATATTTTACTTTCAGGCTCTCACTGGGAAAAGAGGCTTTTGATGAATGAAATAATGACTGGTTCGGTTGATACGAGATCTGTCGTCTCAAAAATGACACTGGCTTTATTGGAAGATAGTGGATGGTACCAGGCTAACTATAGCATGGCAGATCGTCTCGATTGGGGTAGCAATCAAGGAAATGATTTCGTCACTTCCCCGTGCAACCTCTGGAAGGGGGCATACCATTGCAACACGACACAGTTGTCGGGATGTACATATAATAGGGAGGCAGAGGGTTACTGTCCAATTGTTAGCTATAGTGGGGATCTCCCTCAATGGGCTCAATATTTTCCCCAACCTAACAAAGGTGAGTTATTTTGTATTCATCAACAATTGCATCTGCTCGTATAAGATGACATGATTTGCAAATGTTTTAAATTCGAAATCCGTTTCTGTGAATTCATGTAGGTGGACAATCGTCATTGGCTGATTATTGTACGTACCTTGTGGCTTACTCGGATGGATCATGCACGGACACCAATAGTGCTCGCGCGCCTGATAGAATGTTGGGTGAAGTTCGAGGAAGTAACTCAAGGTAAGACTGATTACGGTTCACGTGCTCTCTGGGTTTGACAAGGATATATATTCTTGTTGGTAACGACTCTTCAAATGGATATGCAGGTGTATGGCCTCATCCTTAGTCAGGACTGGGTTTGTAAGAGGTTCGATGACCCAAGGAAACGGTTGTTATCAGCATCTATGCATTAACAATACATTGGAGGTAATTCGGGAGTTTTGGCGTTCTAATTATACCCATGATGTTATTTATAATAACATTGGCACACACGATCAGTTCCTAGATTACTTGGTTTTTACGAACTCTTTTTGTGAGATCCCACATCGGTTGGGGAAGAGAACGAAACACCCTTTATAAGGGTGTGGAACCTCTCCCTAGCAGACACGTTTTAAAGAAAACCTTGAGGGGAAGCATGAAAGGGAAAGCCCAAAGAGGACAATATCTGTTAGCGGTGGGCTTGGGCTGTTACAAATGCTATCAGAGCCAGACACCGGGCGATGTGCCAGCAAGGAGGTTGTTCCCTGAAGGGGGGAGAGACACGAGGCGGTGTATTAGTAAGGACGCTGGGTGGATTTGGTGGGTCCCACATCGATTGGAGAAAGGAACGAGGGCTAGCGAGGACGCTGGGCCCTGAAGGGGGGTGGTGGATTGTGAGATCTCACATCGGTTGGGGAGGAGAACGAAACACCCTTTATAAGGGTGTGGAACCTCTCCCTAGTAGACGTGTTTTAGAAACCTTGAGGCGAAACCGAAAGGGAAAGCCCAAAGAGGACAATATTTGCTAGCGGTGGAGTTGGGCCGTTACACTTTCAAAAAAAAAAAAAAAGAAAAAAAGGATTTTGATTAAATGCTGCACGAGACTTCGTTTTTCTTTCTTAGAAAAGAATTTCTTTTCTAAACGATCAATACCATTCTGATTGATTCGTGTTCGTTTAGGTAGCTGTTGATGGTATGTGGAAACTATGCCCTCAAGCTGGTGGACCAGTTCAGTTCCCTGGCTTTAATGGCAAGTGCTTACCCTTATACTCTGACCGTTCAGGGAACGATTTATGTCGTACAAATCTAACGATCTATTCGACTTTCTTGGTGTAGGTGAATTAGTCTGCCCTGCATATCACGAACTTTGTAGCAAAGACTTAGTTTCGGTGCCTGGAAAGTGCCCGAATACTTGCAATTTCAATGGAGATTGCATAAACGGGAAGTGTTTTTGCTTTCTAGGCTATCATGGACATGATTGTAGCAAACGTGAGCGTCTAGTTCCCGGATTAGTTCCTTGTCTGATCGATGTTTTTGCTCGGTTTTACTTATTAGTTAAGTCAAATGGATAAATTGCAGGATCTTGTCCTAATAACTGTAGTGGTCATGGGAGGTGTCTTTCTAATGGACTTTGTGAATGTGGAAATAGTTACACGGGCATTGACTGCTCCACCGGTACATTCTCTTCTGACGTCTTCGAACTTTTTAAACATTCATGTTTGCTTAATAATAGATTCCACATCGGTTGGAGAGAGGAACGAAACATTTCTTGTAAGAGTGTGGAAACCTCTCCCTAGCAGACACGTTTTAAAATCGTGAGGCTGACGACGATACGTAACGGGCCAAAGCGCACAATATCTGCTATCGGTGGGCTTGGGTTGTTACACTTGTATAATCGATATTCCACGACATCTAATGTCCTCGGTTGTTAAAAAATGGAAAAAAATGGAAGATAATTCTTTCATGGACTTGTTGGGTCTTGTGGTAGATATTGTTTCTTGCATTGTTCTTTGTAATTGTAACTTGAAAAAACACTTCTGTTGTGATCTCAGCTATTTGTGATGAGCAATGTAGCCTCCATGGAGGTGTCTGTGACAATGGCGTTTGCGAATTCCGATGTTCGGATTATGCTGGCTATTCGTGCCAAAGCAGCTCCAGGCTTCTATCGAGTCTCTCCGTTTGCAAAAATGTACTGCAAAGGGATATGACTGGCCAACATTGTGCGCCGAGCGAACCCAGTATTCTACAGCAGCTTGAGGAAGTTGTCGTCATGCCAAACTACCACCGTTTGTTTCCCAGTGGTGCCCGGAAACTTTTTAACATCTTCGGTGGTAGCTACTGCGATGCCGCCGCAAAGCAGCTGGCTTGCTGGGTAAGTGGTCTACCTCTTCAAAATACCCTATCTACACTTTTTGTGTGAGATCTCACATTAGTTGGAGAGGAGAACGAAACATTCTTTATAAGGGTGTGAAAACCTCTCCTTGGTAGACGTGTTTTAAAAACCTTGAGGTTTATAAAGAGGACAATATCTACCAATGGTGGACTTGAGCCAGCTGGGCCCTAAGGGGGGTGGATTTTGAGATTCCACATCGGTTGGAGAAGGAAATGAAGCATTCCTTATAAGGGTGTGAAAACCTCTCCCTAGTAGATGCGTTTTAAAAACCTTGAGGGGAAACCCGAAAAGGAAAGTTCAAAGAGGACAATATCTGCTAGCGTTGGACTTGGACTGTTACTAATGGTATCAGAGCCAGCTAGTCCGTGGATGGTGTGGCCAACAAAAAGAGGTGGATTGTGAGATCCCACATTAGTTGGAGAGAGGAATGAAACATTCCTTATAAGGGTGTGGAAACCTCTCCCTAATAGACACGTTAAAATCTTGAGGGAAAGCCAAAAAGGGAAGGCCAAAAAGGACAATATCTGCTAGTGGTGAGCTTGAACGGTTACATTTTCATGACATTGGACTTAGCCTTTCATGAGATGGACGTCATCTGTTCTAAAATTGCACTTTCATATTCAGATCTCAATACAAAAGTGCGATGAAGACGGTGACAACAGACTCCGAGTATGCCATTCGGCTTGTCAGTCCTACAATCTCGCTTGTGGGGCATCACTCGACTGCTCTGATCAGACTCTCTTCAGCAGTGAGGAGGAAGGCGAAGGGCAGTGCACGGGGTCCGGTGAGATCAAATTGTCGTGGTTTAATCGACTACGCAGTAACTTATTCGTAAGTAACAGCTCCACAAAAGGAACATCTGTAAAATAGTTACTTGTAGTAGGGTCAATTTCTTTTGCTCTGTAATTTTACCAAGGGTCTTAACTTAGGATAGAGTTGGTACTGCAAATGCCATAGATTTAGGTCTTAGTTGTGCTTAGCCCAAAATGATTTAAGGAAAAAAATGGGCTGAGAAGTTTTAAAAGTTTTAGGCTTTCAAAGATGAAAGCTATTTGTAAAGAGAGGATTTGTAAGTGTATGAATCCATGAGGAAAAAAAGGAGAGAGAAAGAACAAGTTAAGGTGGAAAAAGCTTTGTTCATGTATAACATAAACTGGCCGAAGGCCTTTGAAAGAGTGAAAAAAATGAAAAAAAAAAGGTTACTTTTTTTAGTATCTTCTTCTCTTATGACCAACTCTTTGTTGCTTTTCAAGAACTCGTAGCGGAGTCCCGTTTTTATAATGTTAATCTAGGTTCATTTGGACGGATTGAGAAAAGTTTAAGAAAGTAGAGGAGAGACAATAGAAGAATTTGACATAGCGTCTTCATTGACACACGGCTTGGTGTCTACCCCTTTTCAGGGTCCAATGTCCTCACCGACACATCACTCGGTATCCACCCTCCTTCGAGGTTCAACGTCCTCGCTGACCCACCACTAGCAGATATTGTATTCTTTGGAATTTTTCTTTTGAGCTTCCCGGAAGAGGGTTTTACACTTTTATAAAGAATGTTTCTTCCCCTCTCCAATCAGCGCTCACACAAGTACTAATCTTGATATCATCCTAAGATGAGATTGAAATTCTGAAATGGGGTCTCCTTCAAGAGTCCAAAAATCTCACATCGTACACACATGTGGTTTCAAGAATAAAACTACAAATCATCAAGTGACCGACAAATCATCAAGTGATGAAATATGGAAGGAAAAAGACAAGCAAATGAGAAAGAGCTGAGCAGGTAATATAGCCACAAGCACCCTTTTGTGCTCAGATTCTGCCTGTCCATTCATAGACAGAGAGTAGAATCTAGAGAAGAAAAGATTTCATTAACTTATTTCTGGCCATCTTTGCTCATGGGGACCATAAATTGAAATTGTTAGTACTGACGTTTACACGAAAACTCGATTCCAATCTAAGCCAAAAAAAAAAAAAAAAAAAAAATCAAGTATCCTAAAAGAATGTTATTCAGTGCTATGTTTCTTGCCGACCAACATTGATATCAAACTGCCTAAATCGTGCTCCGGTTGAACTCGAAGATACGTAACGGAAGCAAGATATATACAAGATAAAGCTACATAAACTTTGGACCAAAATGAATAGAAAGTAAGGTAAGCAAATATTGCAGTCAAGGAAATGACCAGTAAGAAGTTCATTGAGCACTTGAAGGCAGAAAGTTGTTCTTGTACTCTTGGCTCTGGGAAACAGCCATTAGCTATGAAATCTGAGAGCAAGTGATCCTTCAGCTTGAATTTATCCATTAACCAAGCAGTAGCACCTTCATCTGAAGCGACAATCTCGTCGACGGGGATCCGTCGAACATGGATATGAACTTCTGAAGGGCCGAGACCGAAGACATTATCCAGAAAGGTAGGACACTGATGCTTGTAGGCAATAGTCATATCATAAACTGCATAACAAAACCAGACCAGAAGCTATGGTAATAAACACAATCATTTCAGACTATTAAGTAAAGAGAGTAATTTGTAGAAATGAACCTGCATTAAGTGAACCTCGCAGGGTTTGTAAGCAAACACAAAAACCTCTAGCTTTTGGAAGAAGAACATTCTTTAGCACCGTAAGCCCAACCTCGGCAGCATACGCTCGACTCTTCTTGCATTTCGCCTCCCTGCATCAAACTTTTCGTATCAGTTCTCAACTTGGACAGAACATCAAGAACACAAGATAAGCTTTCAATCCTCAAAAACTAGCTTCTAGATCATGGAATACAGTAGAAAAGGAATGGAAGGTATACGTAAAGTCAGTTCCCTCAGGAAAAACAGCAAGCCACAAGGGATCTTGAGGATTTCTAAACGTCAAAAGCTTTCGACGCATAACCCGTTCATCGATCTCCCATTTCCTCTCAACTGGAATGAACTCCAAAACATGGAATCCCCAACCAAAGAGAGGCAGCTTCATTAAGCTGCTTTTAAGGATGTATTTGATGCAGCCAAGGGAGCCCTTTCGCAATGCAATATCCCACAAATACATCCAATCAACTTCAGTTCTGTGGTTAGCAATTAGCAAAACACGTTCATTATCTGGAACATCATCTCCATATAACACAACTTCAGTCCCATTTATAACTTCAAATAGAAAGGGCCAGAGAGCCAGCCAGAAACCAAAAAGCGTGGAAGTTGCCTTCCGACAGTAATGCCGGCTGAGAAGCCGTAAAAAGAGAGCCACTACAGGCGCAAAATACACTAAAAACATACAGGCAGTCGACAAAAACACCGCTAAACAAATCGCCCCTCTCATCAGCCTAATCGGACTAAGAGATTTCTGTTTTTGTGTATTATCAGATTGCAGAGGCGTAGAAACATCCATTCTTCCAAGAACACCGATTCAAAAGATTTCCCCCTCCTAAAAATGCTGCAAACAAACACACATTTACCATACCTTGAGAGATTCGCAATTTCTTAATCAAATCTAACGAAATCAAAAGACGAAAACACATAAAGCAAACGAAATTCCAACAGAATCTTTCTGAAAAGGAAAAAGCAGATTCCAATTTCAGAAACACGAACAATTTGCAGCGTGTTGTTAAATCGCATTACAGATCTACAACTACGAATTGCAAGAATTACCTAAGAATCAAAAGAGACGAAAATATTGTTCCGGTCGTCTCTCCTCCTCAAATCCCTCCAGGAACTGGAACTGTGTGTGTTCTTATCCAAAGTAATGAAACAGGGAGTGGGAAAAATGGTGAAATCGAGAAGAAACAGGAGAGAGAGAGAGAGAGAGAGGATTAAAGGAGGAGAGAGAAGTTGAAACTGAGATTACTGAAGAAATCAGAAATGGAAAATCGAAATCTCCACGGTTTTTTACAGATTGACGAAAGGTAGGTGACGGAGATGTGGCTGCTACTTCTGGAAGAAATTTTCCTTCCAAACTAATTAAACAGATTTTAACCTGAGATTTAACTCTGGTTAGGTAACATTTTGGATTTTATATAAAATAATAATATATATTTTTTCTTTTAAATAATTTTATATTTACGAAAAATAATACCATATGGTAAGATTTAAAGCGTTGACTTCAATATACAGCAACTAACCATGATGTCTGTAACATTATTTTTGTAATATTTATTATTTTTTTAAGTGGAATATTAAAAAATATATATTAATTTTTATTTTATTTTAATCTTTTAACTTTATAAATTTATTTCCGTTTTTTAAATAGTGTTACATCTAGTTGCAATTATAATCGGATATATTTGGATTATGTTATTATTATTATTATTATTATTCTCGACTTTATATTAAAAAAGAAATTTAGAATCTTTATTTTATGATGAATGGATTAAAAATTAAAATTACAACGGAAATGACGGAGACCAACCAAGAAATTCAAATATTTATTTTGAAAAAAAATTATTTTAATAAAAAAATTTAAGCGGTAACTTCGGTACAAATTTTCATGATATTATAAAATGACCAAAATACCCTTATTCTATCATATTAACGACTACTGCACACCCCAATCTAAATAAGATAATTAAAAAATGATGACTAAAAAATATATATATCAATAAAGTGCACATTCCTTCTTTAAATAGATTTTATTAAAAAAATTCTAAAAAATATTTTTCGAAATAATGTATTTGGAATAATATACATATAATTTATATTTATTAATTTAAATATAGATTTCTAAACATATATAATTTATTTAAAAGTTAGGAAAAAAAATTATTTGTTTTAACTAAATTAAAATTAAAATGGTGTTTTCTTTTTCGTAACTATTTAATTTTTTAACCAAAAAAAAATGAAAACAAAATTTAAAATGAATTTTTATTTTAAAAAAAATAAAGAAAAAGAAAAACCACAAATTTGTTTTTTAGGTTGACTTTGAAGGACAAACGGCCGACAATTCTGCGGCACCGTACATACATTTACAGATTTACCCTGCACACATAATGAAGTAGGGACCAAAATCGATATTTGTCCGGGGGTAGGTTTGTCTTTAAGAAAGACGGGTCTCCACGATGTGAAGAATTCAATGAAATAAATGAGAAATTGGGGGAATTTAGTTAGTAAAAGAGTTTTCTTTCATTTAAATTAAATCAAAATCGAATTAATCTAAATTTATAGTATAATAATTATAATATATTTATTTTATTTTTAATATTTTTTATTATTTATGCTCTAATTACTCTTTAAAATAAATTTTAATTATTTACTAGGTAATTTTAAAATATGTATTAAAATTAGTTATAAATTTCAACTAAATACTTAAAAATAAATAAATAGACTTTAATATTTTAATTTTATTAAAAAAATTGAATAAATAATTCGAATAAATCAAACTAAGTCCACCCAATTTAAGGTTTTATTTTTAACGCGATCTTTAATTAATTAGAATCTCAATGCGGCACCTAACAGCCCTGATATTCTTCATGGTCACGTTACTTACTCTTCACTTCTAAGACTGAGACTATCCCCATGCACAAACTATTACAACATGTTTTGTCTTCACTCACATGCATATTAGGAAAATTTGCAAGACGTCACTTAAGGTTACTTTTCGCTTCTAAGAGTGAAAGACTATTTTCACTCAGATGCATTATAGAATAGTTCCCGGGGAGGTTACCTAATATAGAATTTCTCATATGATTGAGCCACCGAGAATGTATACCTTGTTGAAATAGGTGGTGACTTTCAATTTTTTAAGCCTTTCATAACTATCATAATATTTTCATGATCCCTTTCATTCGGTTATGGTCTTGATTTATTTATGTACCCTTCTTTTACTCTGTATATTTATAAATTATTTATTTGTATAATATATTTATAAATATAATAAAAAGAATTTGTCTTTATTATAATTATCTTTTAAAATTAATGTGAATAAATAAAATTGTTACCATGAAAGTTTAGGGCATAAAAAATGAATTTATCCCTAGTTTTTCCACGTCGGACGGAAGGTGTTGACTGTTTGACTAGGAATAACCAGTAATATTACGACACGTGGGAATAAGTGACGAGAAACACAGAGAAAATGCGAAGACGCACGCAGTGAATAATGTTTAGGGCACGGGTGCGGAAGCTTCCGTTTTCAAATGTATATTTCTTGCTTTCCTGACAGACGCGTTCGTCAATTTTTCTTCTTCATCGATCGGAACGCGGGATCGGCCGGTTTGTTCTTGTCAATCAATAGGTGAGTTTTTTCATTTTTCAAATTCTTTTCGTAATTGTATTTTCATTTCTGTGTTTTTTTCCCCAACTTTTTGTTAAATTGTTCGCGTTGAATTTGATTCTGTTGGTTTCTGTTTGGGGATTTTGAAACCCTAGGATTCAAGATTTTGTTGTAAATTTATTGTTTGGATTGTTCGTCAAGGCGATCCGTTGTTAAGATTGTTGATTCTCATTGAGTTCGTCCATTGGTTTTGGCTGGTTGAAGGAATATTTCCGATCCCGATGAATTTTTCTGTTGACTTTCGTGGATTTCATCTCAATTTTGTGGTTTAATTTGATTTAATAGGTAGGGTGTGTAGATATGGCGAGCGGGTTTGGGGAATCAACAAGTAGGCAACCTCAAAGCCCTTCGTGTTCCGACAACAATGGTGATGCTAGTAATTTTGAGTGCAATATTTGCCTGGATTTAGCTCAAGATCCTATTGTAACCCTATGTGGTCATCTTTTTTGTTGGCCATGCCTTTACAAGTGGCTGCACATTCATTCCCATCCCCAGGAATGTCCAGTTTGTAAAGCTATGATAGAAGAGCAAAAATTGGTTCCCTTATATGGTAGGGGAAAGACATCGACTGACCCGAGATCGAAAAGTATTCCGGGAGTTAATATTCCCAATCGTCCTGCAGGACAGAGGCCGGAAGCAGCAGGCCCTCCACCAGAGCCAAATCCTTTTGCTCACAATGGATTTGGATTCATGGGAGGTCTTGGAGGGTTTGCTCCAACGGCTTCAACAAGGTTTGGTAATTTCACATTGTCTGCGGCTTTTGGTGGTCTTGTCCCATCTTTGTTCAACTTTCAGATGCATGGATATGCAGATCCAAGCATGTATGGTGCAGGTGCTAACTTTCCATATGGGTTTCCTAACATGTTTCATGGTAGCCATGGCCATGGCCATGGCCATGCTCATGCTCATGGATACTATCACCATCTCCGTCAAGGTCAGCAAGATTACTACCTGAAGCGGCTGCTTTTTTTTATTGGTTTCTGTGTTCTTCTTGCCCTAATCTGGCAATAGATCAAAGGGTCCATTAGGGCATATATTCTTGCTTTGTGGTGTTTAATGTATTCAATCTCTAATGTAAGAATTAAAGAAGTGAAAAAATCTGATGGTACATTGTCTTGCTATCTCATCATTGTTGAAATGAACATCAACTTTTGTATACTCAGCACGATGAACATTAGCTAACGTGCTTATGCAATTGTATTCGAAGGTTTCGATTTATTCACATCTATATATACTACATTTACATGCTGACCCACCAAATGCAATCACATGGGTGAGTGAATGAAACACGTGCTGTGATGGCTCGTTCTCTCAAAAGATGATTTATTTGCCTAAGTGATTTCTCTACTGCTCTTATTTTATGCACTACTTGTGATATGTGTTTCCTGTTTTTTGGTGAAGAAGTTCAGAATATACAGATGGGTTTCTGCTGCACATGGTACTACCAGAAACTTGTTCATCAGATTGCGTTTAGCTATGGTTCTATCCATGTTCATTATTTCAATTCTATCTCAGTATTTGTTTCGTTTTCTCAAGTCTTCGATTCCAGTTTGGTTTATTTTTGAACTAAAGTCTTGCACTAGGTTCGTGAAATACGTCGTTCTGATCGAAAGGAGCAGGACAAGGATCAGGATCATCACCCCTTGATACCATGTTGGGAACTAGTAGGTCAGTGATTGTGGCTTTCAAGATATTTTTTGTTTGATTTATAGGGAATGACCTAACAGAAGCAGGTGATCTTTAAGCTGGATGGTACTTGAACCATGTTTATCAGAAGAATGCAGAGAAAAAGGGTAAGTGCTTGTTATTAATGTTAGATATCAGCTGAAATTATAATATAGTAATGTGGCTCGTAGTGCCTTGGAGAAGAACGTTCTTTGTTTGAGTTCGAAGTCTACCTTGCATTGGGCGAGACCCTATCTCCTTTTTTTCTTTTTCTTATTTCCATATGGTGAATCACTTGTGAAGTCAACTGAACATCGTGTCTGCTTTAACTTCACCCGTCACTCGCGTCGTGTAGTTTAACAAGACTAACAAGTGGTCAACTGAATTTATGTATGGGTAACTATTTCTTAGTTGCAATACAATTATTTTTTTATTCTTCCTCTACTCACCACTACGGGCGAATGGAATCTAATGCACTCTTTCTTGGCTAGTGTAACAGACTCCATGAGAGGTCATTCGGAAGGGTTCCGAATAGTTCGATTTTGGAGTATGGTAGTTGACACGTTATTTATTTTTAGCTGTTGGTCGGTTATTGTTCATCATTTTGAAGACCAGACAATATGGAAATTGCTTAGGATGCCCCTTTTCTATTAATTGTAACATTTATCATAACATAATTCATAATTAAAACTTAAATCTATGAAGAGCTCTTAAAACAAAAAACCATTTTTGTTGTTGTTGGAATATTTTCTGAAATCCCATTTGAAAGCTAAAGCTACTCACCACCGGCCGGTCGCCATCTCTCTCATTCTCACCTTACACATAAAACCCATCGCTTAGCTTTCCTCCTTCCTCACTTCCCCTCGCCGGCCGCCGTCATGTTTAAACCTCCTGCCGCCCTTCTCTTCTTCATTTTCTCCTTGACTGCCGTCAATGCCACCGTTCTATTCAAGGAGGCACCCCAATTCTACAACTCCCCTGACTGCCCCTCTGTTTTCGACGGTGAGGAAAACACCAACCGTCTCTGCTCGGACGATGGCATCCACGTTGCGATGACATTGGACACCGCTTACATCCGGGGCTCCATGGCGGCGATCCTCTCCGTTCTGCAACATTCGTCCTGTCCCCAAAATGTAATCTTCCATTTTGTTTCCTCTGCTTCTGCAAATGCTCTGTCTCTACACGCCATCATTTCCACCTCCTTTCCTTATCTTAAATTCAAAATCTACCCCTTCGACGATGTCGCTGTGTCCCGTTTGATCTCCACCTCCATCCGCTCTGCCTTGGATTGTCCATTGAACTATGCTCGTAGCTACTTGGCTGACCTCCTCCCCATCTGCGTCCGCCGTGTCGTCTATCTCGATTCCGATATAATCCTCGTTGACGACATCGCTAACCTTGCCAACACTCCTCTTAACGACGCCGTCCTCGCTGCCCCTGAGTACTGCAACGCCAATTTCACGGCCTATTTCACTCCCACTTTCTGGTCCAATCCCTCTCTGTCTCTCACCTTCGCCAATCGCAGCCCCTGTTACTTCAATACCGGTGTCATGGTCATCGACCTCTCCCGGTGGCGCCTTGGCGACTTTACCGCCGAAATCGAAGAATGGATGGAGCTTCAGAAGAGAATGAGGATCTACGAGCTTGGATCTCTACCGCCGTTCATGCTTGTTTTCGCCGGAAACATCGTCCCCGTCGACCACCGGTGGAACCAGCACGGCCTCGGCGGGGATAATTTCCAGGGACTCTGCCGGGATCTACACCCGGGTCCGGTGAGCCTGTTGCATTGGAGTGGAAAGGGGAAGCCATGGGCCCGGGTGGATGCGAACCGGCCGTGTCCGTTGGACTCTCTATGGGTCCCTTATGATCTGTTGCAGACTCCATTTTCGTTGGATTCTTGATTGGTTGAAGCTCGTGAACAGGGTTTGGGGTTTAAAGATTACAGGGGAAGGCGTCGGAGAAGTTTTAATCGGCCGGAAACAGAGAAATAATGTATTTTTAAAAAGGGAAGTTATAATGTATGATCAATTTTATGTCTTTGAAAGGTTATATAGCATAGATTTTGATATAATCAATTTTTTTGGATAAATAATTTGAAAAAAAAAAAAATCAATATTTTTGTTGAGACCGGATTTAAACAGAAAGAAAATAATTCCAGTTGAAGCAGATTGAATCGAACCATTTAAACTAGATTGGTGAAATGGTCTAAGTAATTCCAATGGCAGGGTTCGTGTCCTTCTTGTGTTACATGTAATCCAATGGTGATGCTCACTCTCTCTCTCTCGAGTGCATGTAGATCTACCAGAACGTTGATGTCAGCCACTTCAAAAGGTATGCATTGAAGCCAAGAATTGAAATAAGAAATCCAACCCATCGATGTCGATCCTAATCATGGTGTTGTAGTTAATGATTGAAGGAGATGAATCATAGAACACTGAACGATTGTCAACCCAAAAAATAAAGAAAACAAAACGTTCAATCAAAACTTAATCGAAGCTGCATATGTTGAGGCATGAGCTGATTGCAAGATTTTAGGTCGAATGTCAGACAAAGTTGGACGTAAAGAAGAAGAATAACGAGAAGATGCCAAAAAAACAAGAAGCTCAGCAACAACTTCAGACGTGAGTTGGAAGATTTTTTTAAGATAAATCGAGCCGAGTCAAGCTTGACTTTTGTAATTGGGAAGGTCGGCGGCTAGAGCTCCGGTATAATTAAAAAAAAAAAAAAAAAAAAAAAAAAAAAGTGAATAAAATAAAATTAAAAAAAAAAAGAAAAAAAAATTGTATTTTAATTTAATATAATTGCTTAATCAATTAGGGTAAGTGCATAATTGGAGTGCAAAGGAGGATGAAAAGGTAGCTTCCCACCCGATTCCCTTTAATTCCCCAATAATAATAATTTTTATTCCAATATTATTCCCTTCCAACTAAATTTAATTATATCAGACAAAATCGAATATTCCATTTCATAATACCCTAATAAAATATTTCTTCAAAAAAACAATTAAATATTAAAATAATGTACTGAGATGGAAGGTAAATTAAAATGTCTTATAGTTTAGGTGCTTCATCCGTTTTTGGTTTTATTGCTTGTTGTTTTGTCTGGTTCAATAATACTGCTTATCCGAGTGAGTTTTACGGGCCGACTGGACCCGAAGCTTCTCAAGCTCAAGCATTTACGTTTCTAGTTAGAGACCAACGTCTTGGAGCTAACGTTGGATCCGCTCAAGGACCTACTGGTTTAGGTAAATATCTAATGCGTTCTCCGACCGGAGAAGTCATTTTTGGAGGAGAGACTATGCGTTTTTGGGATCTGCGTGCTCCTTGGTTAGAACCACTAAGGGGTCCTAATGGTTTGGACTTGAGTAGGCTGAAAAAAGATATACAACCTTGGCAAAAACGACGTTCCGCGAGATATATATATATATATATATATATATATATATATATATATAGTTGGTTCGAGTTTTATTGGTAATTAGAGATGTGAAGGAGTGGACAGAGACACTTCTCTTATTTCAATTTTCATTTCTATGAAATTCTCGTTTTATTTTTGTAAGAATCGATGCAGAGATTCAATGTAGGGAATCCACCGAATTTAGATTCTTCATTAAAAAAAAATTCCTCATTTTAATATTTTATTAAAAATTAGTTATTTTTTAATAACTATTTAATGGATAATTTTCATCTTCTAATATAATTATTTTTGTTTAAAAAATGTAAAATTTTATAAATTAAATAATATTTTGTAAGCAAAAATATAATATAACGTTACAAACTCAAATTCTAATATTATAATATAGTCTCTTACACTTTGTGTTTGTAAAAAGTGAACGGAGGTGAAAATTTTGGTGGGATAGGGGACGTGAAATGTAATCCCTGTTTCTGGTATTGTTTGGCTAACCGAGAAAAATCTCTCTTCATTCCCTCCTTATTTTCCGTTTATACGAAGCTTCTCCACCTCATTTGAGGCGAGTTCGTGTGAGTTAAATAGATATCTCTAGTACTAATTCAAAAATAATGCAAATTATCTCTTTATATAATTGAATTGAAGTTCATGCACGTGGAAAATCATTGTGTTAAATAGGGATCGAGGAATCTTTCCTCTCCGTTAGCTAAACGGGCTGAGAGACGGAGATTATATTCTTTGTTCATATCCCCGCCCCCAACCCTGCCTAAATTCCCACTTCGCCCCCCTCATTTTAATTTTTAATACTATTAAAATTATTATAACATTTTTAATTTTTGATAAACTTTATATTGGAAAAAATAAAAAATTATCCAATTTTTTTAAAAGAAAATTTTTGAAAATAATATAAATAATAATTGTGGAGAATTTGATCCCCACAAATAAATCGATGTGGGAACCGTCAAGTTGGGTGGTGAGAGAGACTGGTTGGTAACAGGATATATGATATCCTCTCACCCGGGTTACGCGTTCTTAATAACGACATCCAAACAGCACTTTTCTTCCGTGCAATAAAATATTTATTAAAAAAAAAACCTCCTCTCAGCCGTAATAATGTAACCGTTAAGCCTACTGCCAGCAGATATTGTCTTCTTTGGGCTTCGCCGTTAACGAATATTGTCTTATTTGGGCTAAGATATTGTCTTTTTTGGACTTCGCTGCTAGCAAATATTGTCTTATTTGAGCTTCGCTGCTAGCAAATATTGTCTTTTTTGGACTTTGCTACTAGCAAACATTGTCTTCTTTGGGCTTCGCTGCTAGTAGACATTGTCTTCTAGCAGATATTGTCTCATTTGGGCTTTACTTCTAACCTTATCCCCAATATCCAAACACTTCTACTAGATAAAAGGTTTCCACACCCTTATCAGAAATGTTTTTTTTTTTCCTCTCCAACCGATATTGGATTTCACAATTCCCAAAGAGAACAATATCTACTAATAGTGGGCTTGAGCCATTACAAACGGTATCAAGGCTAGACATTGGGTCGTTGGGCTCCCAATGGTAGTGGATTGTGAGATCTCACACCGTTTGACGAGGGGATTGAAACATTCCTTATAAAGATGTGGAAACCTCTCTTTAATAAACACGTTTTAAAATTTGGAGAGGAAACTCAAAGACGATAATATCGATTAACTGTGGGCTTGAGTCATTGCATAATATATTTTAAATGAACGGAAAAAAAATAAAAGTCGAACTTACCAAGAACATATAAATCCATCCATTAGCTTCTAAACAAAAAAAGACAAATTTAAAAAATGTTTAAAAATTACATTAATTAATGCTTCCAAATCCTTCTCTTTCAGCTTAAATACCTTTGTTTAAGCACAAATCAAGAACAAGTTCATCTTCAATCAAAATAACTACCAACCAACTATGACTCTAATTTTCTCCACCTTCTTTCTTCTTCTTTCTTCACTCATCACTGCTCAGCAGAATTACTCGCGTCCCAGCTGCGGCGGCGATACTGAGCCGTTCGGGCTCTACTCCTGCAACGGTCGAGCAAGCTCCTGTCGAGCTTTCCTCATCTTCAAATCCAAACCGCCCTACGATTCCGTTCCTTCCATTTCCAATCTCACCTCCTCAAGCTCAGATGAAATTGCCATAGCCAACAACGTCACCGTCTTCTCACTTCTAAAGCCAGACACGGCAGTCGTCGTTCCACTTCACTGTTCTTGCATCGACCGATTCTACCAGGCCAATGCCTCGTTTGTCCTAGCGTATTCTCAAACCTATTACTTTGTTGCCACTGAGATTTACCAGGGCTCTACTACTTGCCAGGGTCTTAAGTTTGGTAATAGGTTCCATGAATTGGATCTCCGAGCTGGGTTGAAACTCCATGTGCCGCTTAGATGCGCCTGTTCGACGACGAACCAAGCTCGGAAGGGGGTCGAGTATTTGGTTACTTATTTGGTTGGCGAAGACGACACGGTTTTGAAAATTGGGGAGAGGTTCAATGTGAGCAAGAAGAGTGTTCTTGAAGCAAATGGGTTTCAAGAGGAAGATGATCCAAATCTATTTCCATTTTCAACGATTCTAATTCCATTGCCAATTGAACTAACAAGCTCACAGATTAAATTACCATGCCCATCTACCGCTGATCGACCGGAGAAAGCGTCATCGAGACAACATGTTCTCGTAGATATCGCAAAAGGCGCTGGTTGCTTGACGGTAGTCATTGTGGTTGTCGTTTTTGCAGTTTTTCTCATTCGTAAAACCAGAGCAAAAGGGATGACTTCTAAGAACAACAAGAACATGATAAGAAAATGGACACCACCAGCTGATATTCGGGTCGAAATCGCAGGCATGGAGCGAGCTGTGAAAGTGTTCAGGTTCGAAGAGATAACGAAAGCTACAAGAAGATTCAGTTCAAAGAACAGAGTAAATGGATCTGTGTTTCGAGGAACGTTCGAAAAGAAGATGAAACTAGCTGTGAAAAGGACCACAATGGACGCCATTACAGAAGTTAGCATTCTAAAGAAAATCCACCATTTCAATCTGGTGAAGCTCGAGGGTGTTTGCGAAAATGATGGCGATTTTTACCTTCTTTTCGAGTTCATGGAAAACGGGTCACTAAGAGAATGGCTCGATAAAGGCAGCAGAAAAGAGAGACGGAGCTGGAGGACAAGGATACAGATCGCTCTCGACATCGCTAACGGGCTTCACTATCTTCACAGCTTCACACAACCTGCCTACGTACACAACAACATCAACAGCAACAATATCCTACTCAACGGCAATTTACGAGCCAAACTTTCGAACTTCAGTCTAGCAAGAATAACAGAGAGAACCACAGCAGCCTCTGTTTCGACCACAAATCTTGGAGGGGCAAAGGGCTACATGTCTCAGGAGGCGGGGCTCGTAACTCCAAAGACTGATGTCTTTGCTTTCGGAGTGGTGGTTTTGGAGCTTATTAGTCGAAAAGAGGTGGTTTTTCGGGAAGGAGGACGAGAGGTTCTACTTTCTACAACAATGATTCCCACCATTGGAAACAATGTCGAATCTCGGCTAACTCGGTTTCTAGATTCGAAACTTAAAGAACCTGGGAAGATGGAGTTTGGTTTACAGATGGTTAAACTAAGTGCAGCCTGCTTGAACCGAGAACCAGAACAGCGGCCGAGC